TAGGACCCATCCCCAACCTCCTCCTGCTCCCCAGCCTGAGGCACAGCCAAGTCCTCCCCTTGCTATACTCTCCCTGCCTCCTATTCCAGGGCCCAACCCAGTTCTCCTCCTTTCTCCAACTCAAAACTCCCTCTCCATACCATGACCTTCCCCCTCTTCAGCGCAGCTCTAAGTCCATCACCCACTCTCCTTCCACTAACTTGCCTTTACTTGAGGAAATCCAAAACCTTAAACACCTCCTTGCCAAATATTCCCTAGTCTCCCCTATTCTGGCTTCTAGCTCAAATAACCCATTTATCCCTCCTGTATCTAACTTCTACTTTGATTCCAGACCCTGCCTCCAAAACCCCTGCCCCTCCGTCCCCTCATGGACAGGACACCATTCCCATCTTGTCCACTCTAACAGTTATAAAGTCTGAACAGGGTTATAGTACATTTTCCCTAATTGATTATGCTGGAGGTTGTAAACATCAATTTGATAATGTTTTAACTATGTACCAATTGCTTTTTTCCACCTAAAGCAAGGTTTTCATAGACCACTCACTAACTACATAAGATCTACCTAAAAACTTATAAAAACACAATATGTACACGGGTAATATTAACTTATTACATTATGTTATGTATATAATTTAGATTCCATGTTCTTTTAATAAGATGATACTATACACTACTTTCCTCTGAGTCAAAGAGTTACCATCTTCATGACTTCAGCTGTGTTTACTAACAAAAATCATCACAATTAAATTTGTTGACTTGACTATCATATTCTTTAATTGAAGGAGGAGGGGTAAACAGGGTCATTGGACCCTCACCTGAGTATCCAGCCACTCTTCCCAGCCAACTGTATGTAATTTGACCCTAATTACATGGTCTCCTGGACTTGGAAAAGACTAAAGTATATTATCCAAAAAAGGCTAGGAATGCTTGCTCCATGCTGGGTTAAGGCTTTCTAATGTAAATACTCTCAGGTCACTCATATACCTCAGCAACCCCTCAGTCATCTCTGTAAGTAAGCTCAGTAAATTCACTGGTTCCCCAGAAAAACTTTAATGTAATCAAACATTGGTTTGATACTACAACCTAAAAAGGGGAAAAACATTGCTTAGTGTCCCCAGGAAAAGAAGTCTCACAACAGACAAAAAATTTGTTTGCTAG